TGTGAACTTTGTTTAAATTTGCATTTTTGGGTCAAAAAACACCTTGCTTAATTTTCTAGTCACCTCTCCAATGGCTAAGAACATGAAAGTCTTGGTAGATGACATGTCGCTTTTTTTTATTTATTTTTTTCAAAAACATTTGGAGCATTTTCAAATGAAAAAAGGCCTATACATACCAACTCTTTTTAAAATGGTCTTGATGTGTAGGCCTGACTTACTAGGCCCAAAAGCACTTGATTTATTTTTATTTTTTTTCTAATTTTGTTTTCATAATTGATATTTTTTTATGTATTTTTAATGAATTTTTAAATTTATATTTAAATTAGTACTTTTCTCTCTAAATATTTAGATTGTTTATTTAGTTTTTTTTTTCTAAATAGTGGATATCTTTTACTTATCTTTTATGTATTTAATATCTAGAAAAAATTATTCCAATTCATCTATATGTTTTTTATATTTTGTATGAATAAAATTTATTTTCATGATGTGTTTATAAAAATAAGAATTATTTGATCTTGGTAAGAAAAAGTGACATTTAAGATAAAAAAAAGAAGGAGAAAAGTGTCAATGAAGATGAAAGTTAAGGTTAAGTATCATATTTATTTATCTTTTACTTTTATGAAAATGATTATCATTTTATTTTATAATTTGATTGGCATTAACAACTCTTTATTAGTTTATTAGTTCATATTTTTGTAAGATTTGTTTTTTACATTTCTCAATTAAGAGAATCCTAATACAATGAAATGCACTTGAAACAATGTCCCTTTTTTCTACTACATTAAAAATTAACTTAAGATCCTATTTGTGGCACAATGTATTAACAACTATTTTTTTATATTTATGAACACTTATGATCCTTACTTTATTTTTATTATATGTAAACATCAACTTATTTTATACGTAATTCTATTTTTTTTCTCTTGAAATCAAAAATACATTAACAACACTTATACATCCATTCTTTTGTGTTGGAAAATATTATATGATCCATAGTGAAGCAAGTTAAATAAACATGTTAATATTGTTTTTTGTATTTATGATTACGGTTTTTTTTTTTGTTATTTTTAGTATATGTGGATGTAGATAGCAATGTGTTATATTATTAGTTAGATATAACTTACCTATTTATTATAAAAATAAATAAATATATTAATAGAAACCTAAAAAAATTGGCTAAAACAATATAGTCCTCAAGAGGAAATATTGTAAATTCACACAATATTTACTTTGTTTTTTTTATCCTTTTTTTATTTAGTGATCTTTGACGATAATTGATTAAAATTTAAGATGGGTAATGTATTTTTATTTGCTTTTTTTATAGTTATCTTGCTCTCAGGATGTTGTGTTAATTGGAATTTCAAGTTGGTAATTTTATATAAGTTCGTAATTTTATATTAGCTTCTAGAACTAATTAAAAAGCTGCACCATTGCTTTGGTGCTCGATTTTACAAAGAAAAAAAATCAATTATATTGCTGGAGAAAAAAAATTAAAACATGAAAAATAAAAATAGGACACCTTAAAAAAACAAATTGTGTCAACGCCTCCATGCCTTGTAATTTTGATAATTCTTCTTTTTGGTAGTGAAACTTTTGATACAAAACTTTATTTTACTTGTATTTTAATTCTTGAGGCTGAGAAAAAAAAGAGATTCATCAAAAAATTACAAGAAAAGAGGAAATTAGCGAAAGCCAGCAAGGTATCTGCTCGAAAAAACCATTCAACAAGAGATTTGAATGCCCAAACATATTCAGATGCTCATAAAATAACATTTTTAATAATGCATTATGCTTAGAAACAGAACATCAAACAAAGAGTTCAGCATCAAGCAAACATCCGCCCTTGCTCCTGGAGGCTTGTACGATAATGGGCCAGCAACATTGTTTTTATGGAGGCTTGTACGATCAGCAACATTGTTTTTATGGAGGCTTGTACGATAATGACTAAACACACAACATTACATTACTTCTAACTTCTTCAGCAAACACATAGATAAGTCGAAATCTTCTATGGTAAATAAGACTGTTACAATGTGAAGCCAATTTGTATCCCATTGCCAATGAAACAGTTGGAATTAATTACTTCCCACCAATCTAGAACATATTCGCAGCACCAACCTTGAAATCATGTAACAGCTAACCACCCTTGCCTGATGCAAACATGAAGAACAAAGACCATCCATGATTTAATTCAACCATTAAAATTTGAGGGTATAGGAGAGGATAAATAATTGCAGCTATATCACCTGGTTTGGGCAAGAAAGAATTATTAGACTAGCAATTATCATCATCACCATCTTCCTCTTCTTCTTCTTCTTCTTCTTCCCACCCATTATCTCGGGTCCACTAGTTCAGCATCAAGCAAACATCCGCCCTTGCTCCTGGAGGCTTGTACGATAATGGGCCCCACTCTCTATTAATGCTTGAATCTTCAGCTACTTCAGATACCTGTAAACCAATTCAAGCATGGCATGCTCATTTTAACTTGTAAATTTTATTATTGCGCGAAATAAGAAACAAATACACTAAAAAGAGAGGCACGAAATCTAGTCAAATCATCAGCACCTCTGATTGAGCAGTCATTGAACCATCTGGTGTAGTAGCAAATTTTGTGGTCAGCTTTGGACATTGA